CGCCATAGCTTCATGTTGTCACTACTCGTTGCTGTGATGTTCGGCCCTTCAACGTTTGCCACCTTTCTGACGTCATAGCGACCGTTACGTTTTACATTGGTGACTTCATATGGGCCTAGAAACTCGCTGGCCAACTTGCGACCTGCGACGAACTGCGTCCTCTTGATTGCCACCATATCTCCCACTCTGTAGCCGTGCTCAGCTCAGACGTTTTTTATCGTAATTGCGCTTGTAACCTCTTGTGCCTGCTCGATGTTGTGTCTCGCTTGGTTACGCAGCTCTTGGCGCTCGTTGTTAAACTGCGTAACAAACTCCTCGTTGAGTACCTCCAATAGTCGACCCTCAGCTTGGCTATGCATCTTAGTCCCAAACATGACCTCGAATGGCGCCGACTTCAATGTTGAATGGATATGCGAATTAATCGCCATCTGGACCTGTGGCACATACTTGTACCACTTCGAAGACTCCTGAACCGACAACTTAGCGATTATGCCCAAATTGAACGGTTCACCCGTTCAATCTGTCCGTTGCCTCTCGCCACACCTGTCGTTGTCCACACATTTTCGACTTTATTCTCGTTGAGAAACTCGCTAAATGCGTTGGATGTAAACGCTGCTCCTCTATCGCTGACTATGCGTTTGGGAAAGCCAAACACAAATGACCAATCTGTCAGCCTCTTCACAACTTCTTCGTATCCCGTTGACTTGGTTGGAAACAGCCAGACGAACTTGGAGAATGCATGCACTGCAGCAAAAATGTATTTATATTGCTTGGCTGTCGCATCCATTGGGCCCAAATGATCAACGTGCAGTGTGTGTAGTGGCGTGTCACCCTTGTCAATACAATGAAGATAGCCCTCCTGCTTGCCCAATTTTTTACTGAAAATGATACAACTGATACAATTAGCAATAACATTTGCAACTTTCCTTTCAAGATGCGGGATCCAGTATTGCTGCTGAATTGAGTGCATCGTCTTCGCTGTGGAGAAATGACCAACTTCGTGCGATCCTTGAATGATTTCTCTTTCCATCAGCTTTGGACAACCAATACGTCATTGCCATTCACAACTTTGAAGAGAAGACCTCCTTTTAGCTTGTAGTCTTGGTATGGGTGCTGCTTCAGGATCTCTACTGTGACCTTTATGAAATCGTCATTCTGCTGCGCCTTCTTTATCCGAGCTGTCAACTCCGTTGTCACAACCATGCAAGTTTGTGGAAAACGGCTGAGACAGTCTACATGTCTCATTCTGTCCCCAGGGCGATGTACTGCTTTAAATGTGAAGTCCTCCATATACAGGATCCACTGGGAAACTTCTCTCGGTATGTCTGCTTTGGTTATTGTCTGCTTAAACGCTACACAATCAGTAGCAAGATCAAATTTGATCCCCAACAGGTAGTGACGAAACTTCTTGAGTGCGAGGTATGCTGCTTTGACCTCCAAATAGTAGCTGTGACGTTTGGATTCAGCTTCTGTAGTCTTTTTACTCCAGTAGACGGGATGGAAACTGCCATCAAACTGCTGCAACAATACAGCTCCAAAACCTTCCTTGGACGCATCCGTGTGGAGTTCCGTTGGCGCTTCTCGTGAGTAGATATGTAATACAGGTTCAATTACAAGAAGCTTCTTTAAGGTGTTTAGCGACTGCTGTTCTGCTTCGCCAATGTTGAAAACTGCTTCTTTCCTGAGTAGATTCGTTAGCGGCCGTGCAACTTGTGCGTACCCAGGAATGAACTTTCTAAAAAAGCCTGTGAGTCCCAGAAACGCTTGAACTGCTTTGATATCCTTTGCGTAGCAAACCGACTAACTGCTGCTGTCTTCTCTTGCCGGGCCAGATTTTCCCGGCCTCAATAATATGGCCAAGAAAGTTAATGCGGGGCTGATGAAAGCTACATTTCTTCCACTTGATCTTTAGGCCAAATTGCGCAGCTGTATTTAGAACCAATTTCGTTTTCTTCATGCAAAGCTCGGGCGACGCGGCGTAAACAATAATGTCGTCCATATAAAGCTGCATAACATCAGAGTTGATTAATTCTTGAAAAATATAGTTTACAAACCGAATAAACGCAGCTGGCGAGTTCTTAAATCCGAAAGGCGCTTTATTAAACTCGTATAATCCTCTTTTGTGACGAAGGCCGTATACGACTTGCTCTGCTCTTCGATTGGAACATGGAAAAATCCATTTTCAAGGTCCATTATGGTAAACCACTTAGCAGACTCCAGCTTTTCCAAGATTTCCTCCATGATCGGGACTGGGAAACAGTCCATCAATACCATGCTGTTCAATTTCCTGTAGTCTACAAAAACTCGAAGTGTACCATCTTTCTTCTTCACGACTACAACTCGGCTTGCCACATTTGAAGATGACTTTGCGTACGATTCCTTTCTCGATCCATTCTTCTACTTGCTTCTTCACAGCGCTGGCTTCGTCTGTGGATAAACGACTCGGAGAGTGATGAAACGGCTTGATAACTCTGTCGGGAACTATTTGCAGTTGGATTGGCACTGCTTTGGAACTTCTGTGGGCATCTGGTAACTGCTCTTTATCATCTGTTCAACGTCTGTGCGATATTGCGGTGGAGCTACAAAGGATGACTCTTCAGTGACATTATATATAAGAGAATACTTATCTATCGACTTGGGATCTTCGTCCAGCTTCGCAAACGTGTATCCTTTCATATCAGCCACGAAACGAAACTTTTTGATGAAATCGTGTCCCAACAGTGCATCGAAATCAATTTGGTTACTGGTACGACTAGAAACTTCTGGTTAGTCTGCAACTTATCCACTGTAAAATCTCTGCATTAAAGTATCCAACAGGCTTCGTTGTTATATGGCCAAGACCGCAACGAGTTTTGCATCTTAAAAGTTCAACGTTTTTCATTCTCTTTAACACATTTTCTTTGATTATGGTTACATCTGAACCTGTATCAGTCGACTTCAATGCCATTTATCTGAATTTTTTTCATGCGATTACGATCTGAAACAACTCGTACTGACTTTATCGGCTTCATATGGACAGTTACGTGAAATGTGACCATTCTGATTAGCACTTAAAACATTTCGTTTCGGCTTTACAATCTTTGCGCTTGTGCTCTCCTGATCCACAATTATAGCAGTATTCTTTTTTACCGCCTGACCCACTTTGCTGTTTATAACTCGGTTTATGTTTTTCTTTATTGGCATTCTTCTCCGGTATGTTCAAACGCTCGTAGATATCGAACTCTTCTTTCAAGGCTTTAAATGATTTACATCGATACATGGCATACTTGTACTCGTTTCTTATATCCAAACCGTTTACAATATGGCTTATGACAGCCACGTCTTCAACATGTCCAACTGCAGCTATTTTTCTCATCTTAGGAGTATTCGTGCAGCGACTCATTACTCTTCTTCTTTCTTTCTTGCAGCTGTTGATGAATGTCTGCACTATTGTAGCTAAATGTAAATTCCTCCAATAATACGAATTTGAGCTCCTCATAGGTGCACACGCTTTCAGATTCTAAAAAAAAGTTTAGCTGCACCGATCATCTTTCCCTCTGGCATGCACATACTTTTGCTTTTCAGTAAGCTCATATGCGTCGGCATTTTTTGAAAATCTCGAACCACTTTTCAATTGGGACCGATTTGCCATCACACTTATTCACAAATTTTCCAAAATTATCTGGAGCGACTTTCATTTGGACTTCTGTTCCTCGTCAGCTAGCACTTTTAAACTTAGCAGCTTTATCATCCGATCAATTTTGTCCTCATCTTTGTTTTCCATATTCCCAACATTTTCCATCTCGTTTGCACTCTGGCGCGACGTTCCTGCTACAGCTTCTGCCATCTCCTTCTCTTTCCAATGCAGCGGCGGCGGCGTGTTCATCATTTTTTGCTTCGGTACAAAACCGTGTCTCTGCGTGTCTTTTCTGCCTGTCTTGCGTGTCTCAACGGTTATTTTCTGCTTGTCTGTTCTGCCTCTTCTGCCTACGTATGTGCACCACACCAACTGTGTCTGCGTGTCTATATATGGGTGTGTATGTACCACACCAGAACAGGCGACGCTGCGGCGCGACTTCGAATTTCACAATTTTTCAACTGAATTACACGACCGATTTTTGTCAATCTTCCGTGTCTACTGTTATGCTTACAGAATTTGGATCGTTCAACTTAATGTTTATAGCCACTTGGAACAACTTTACAACTTTATTTAGCTACAAACAACAACTTTAACAACTTTTTAACGATCCTCTTCTTGCATCGGCCAACTTTTTTTTTTCGATCACGCCACTCTTGTCTCTGTATTCGACTCGGACGAGCCCCCAAATGTAAGATTTATAATATAGAATTGTTTATTATGCTTATAGTTCAAATACAGTTAGAGATTACATGATTTAGAAAATAGTTCAACTTGATTAATTGTTCTTATAACTCCCGTACAACTTTCCGCTGCTGCTTCCAAAAACCGACTCAGACTATCGACTTCTTCCTATCGCCTTCCGCTATCGCCTTCTACCTTATATCGGTACATCTTACCGATAGTATCTTAAGATTAATGTCATGTCTTATCCGCTTGATACCCTTACTCTTTACATATATATACTTTATGGGGCCGGAAACGATTCCTTCTCTGCGGGACACACATCCACTTTTACCAAAAATACAATACAATACAATACCCCTTGACTCTTCTTGAGTACGGGTATAAAAATCAACCGAGCCGATTGGGGGGAATTGTTACAAAAACACCGTGACACAGGACTTTTAGATTTTTTTAGATTGTTATATAAGGTTCTGCGACTGAACACAGCTCACAGTAAAAACTGTTGGTATCCTTCAGATTTGGTTACGTTGTTTAATTGATAATATCGCAAGATTGTCGTAACAGCTTTTTTAAGTAATTTATTAGCTGAATACTTCAAGCTAATTTCTCAGGAAATTGGAGTCCATATAATTACTGTTTGATGGCTTCTGCTCAAATATCCAACATTAGCTGAGATACATGACTGTATATATCGAGTCTAGTTTTTTCTTGAGCCTTGCTCTCTCTCGATGCGTTTTAGTACATCATCCATATTTGTAACCAGCTGTTCTATAATTTCTTCAATCAGTGTTACGCGATTCGTCAAACTAAGAGATAGTTAAGAAAACCCAGGTGATTTAAAAATATTAAAAGACACCAATAAAAGTTCTTGAGCTTACTCTTGTTTTGGACATCGGGGGGATCTCTTCAAAGTACCGTGCGCTGAAATAGATATTTAGCTGACATGAAATTGTACTAGTAAGTTTACTCAATTAATATACTCTGTTGGGTAATGTTTGTTAGAACTTTAGGCTCTTCCAGTTCTACGTTCGTGCCATCCAGATCAGCCTCATTGGCAGCAGCAGTGAGGCGGGCAGGCTGAACACGTCGCTTTTCGGCCACAGTGGATGATCCAGTAAAGAGCCCCAGCCAGCTTCTTATAGATATATGAGCCCAATTGACTGCGCCTTGCAATTTCATCTTTACCGAGTTATAAGTTTCCATGATTATGGCCAGGAACATGTTCTAGTGAAATCAAATTTATGGCAACTGACAAAACATATTTAGCGTTCGAAGTTTACCAGCAATATAAAGAATACAAGTAGAATATAGGTAAGGAAGTAAATGGGACCCAGCACTCGATTTGCCTGCTCAATGAGATTATACTGAAAGTCGCCCAAGATCATGCGGATCATGGTCAAGACTGAGGTGAGGAAGTTATGAAAATCTGGATGCTTGGTTCCGAAAAGAAGGAGACCCAGTTGAGCGTAGGCCAAGAAAACAATGCCAAACATAAGACTGAAGCCAGCCAAATCTTTGGAGCACTAAAAGTTTTCAAAAAATTCATTAAATATTACATCCATTCAAATTTAAAAATTAAAATATGTACCCTTCGTAATGTAGTTGTAAACTGAACAAGAGTTTTGTTGAAACTGATAAACTTGAATATTTTTATCCATACAAGAAACGCTAAAATGGCCATCATATCCACATAGATGATGTTCACGAAGCAAAGAACATCGATACTTTGATAACCTTCTTCCACCTCGGCCTTGGATGTAAGGGATTGAACTTGGAAGGTATGCCAGACGTTGTAGACCAAGGCCAGGTAGCAAAGCTAGGAATGGAAATGTAGATCGGGAAACGATCATTAAAGATAATAATTTACCACTAATACAATACTGTCAAGAACATTTAGCAACGATTTGTAGTAAATTTTACACCCTGACTGCGGATCCATTAATCTCATAGATAGTATAGTAAGCGACCATGATATACCAAAATATATACACCACAGTCATAGCCAGACTGCGATCGTGAAGAAAGAATACTGCCTAACAGTTTGCATATGCGTCTGCGGCATCACACCTCCCGTGGGGGGGATTTCGGCTAAAGTCTGGTTATAGAAGAAGCTTTAAATACACTGAAATTTAAAAATGGAAGCCGAACCCACTTGACGCTCTGAAAGATGTCCGTGTTCTCGTTGTACAGATTAAACTCCACCAAACACAGCCTTGAGCCGCGATCCAGCCAATTATCGTCGCTCAGTTTATTTATCTTTTTCAGACTGTCATCCTTATCATAGGTAAGATCAGCAATGTACCCACCAGTACGATAGAATGCCAGTACTGTCCAAATCGGAGTGGCGTCCAGTTCGCCCATCGTATGGTATTGTGTACCTTTGTGCAACCCGGTTTTCTCCTCGATTCCCGCTGAATAGGCGGCGTAGCAGGTGTTAAAGTGTCGCACGAAGTCTTCGTTCACATGGCAACTCCCTTTCGAACTCGAATCTGCCGAAGGCGCGGGGGACCGAGCAAAAGGTTCTCCAGCAGAAATACACGACCCTGAAGATGGGAGACCTTTTGGGAGCTGTTTCCACCCCATCCTCCACCACTGGAAGAGCCACCCGAACCACCCGGACCCCTTTTGGTGTCGACAGCTTGTTCGCCAAGGTCGAGGTTTTCAGGCTTGGCGACCCCACCGATATCTTCAAAGACGACATCATGCAGCCGTGGTTCGAAATCCTGGTTCTGTTTGTGGGATTGATCATCATCATCGCGGTCTACATATCCATCCTCCACATTCCAGTGAGCCTTGCTGGCCCGTCTCAACGATTCAGCGTTGTTTCTACTGGTTTTAGTTTCATTTGGCTCCATGTTATTATCTGGATTAGTTTGAGTCATATCTCCGTGCAATGTTTTTATAAAGTTGTATACCAAATAGTCCCACCAATCGGGGACTGTGAGAATCTTCTCAAAAGAGACTGTCACTGATGGAGCCACAACCATTTCGTGGGTGGTAAACAGTTTCTTTATTGTATCGTTAAAGTAGAACATGTGAGGGTGACGAACAGACAGAGTTACTGGAATACAAATTTTTTTCTTAACAGGGATTGAGGTAAGCAAATGGCTGAAAATTTTTGTTATCTGGCTTTTAAGATTTTAGTGAGTCGCTTCTGGGGACGCAACTTGACTTATACCCGTACTCAGTTAGTATTTAATTTTTTGAGGTTCTGATTTTTTAGAATTTTAGAATTAACAAAAAAATTTTATATATTACATTTTTTTTGCTACATCTGTTATCTACATATATATATTTACAATGCATATTTTACATTGAACATGTAGAATCTACATTTACCATTTATATTCTACATCTCCTCCGATAGTGGTTGCTCGCGCACTGAACGCGGCAGAGTGTGCGAGCGAGAAAGTGGCGGGTCTCTAGCTGTCGGAGGCGGGAAAGCAACTGAAAATTAATTTCTTCATTCTGGCTATAATTATGATCCGATCTGATTCAGATTCAGCAAACTGGTAGACAGGTCAGTCTCTACGATACTAAATTTTTAGTTTTATCGTATCTTTAAAATTGTGCCTGCCACAGATTTCTGTCTTTTGTGGAGGCGGAAGTGGGCGGGGCGAAATTTTGAAATACAATTGTAACAGTGTGATATCACATGAATCTGGAAACCAAATTTGGTTGCTCTAGTTCTTATAGACTCTGAGATCCAGGCGCTCATCAAGACGGGCATACGGTCAGACGGACATGGCAATATCGACTCGGCTATTAATGCTGATCAAGAATATATACACTTTACGGGGTCGGAAACGTTTCCTTCTCTGCATTGCAAACATCCACTTTCACTACAAATACAGATACCCCTTAACTCTATTTGAGTACGGGTATAAAAACAAACTTGAAGAGTACATAAACGAAAAGAACACACTGCTACGAGTATATAGGTATATGCATACCGAAAAAAAATATTCGGCGTC